AACAAGTACATGTCTATATTAACCAATCAACTCCACCTAGCAACAAGTACATGTCTATATTAACCAGTCAACTCCGCCTAGCAACAAGTACAGGGTTATATTAACCAATTAACTCCACCTAGCATCAAAGATCGTAACTCACAAGAGTATTTTCAAGCATTCTAGGTTTACCTGAGCAAACATTCGAGAAAAAATACACTAACCAGCAGAGGATGTAGTGACTGCCATGTCGTACTCGATCAAGTAGATTTTGTCTTCTGTGAGCCACGGGTTATTTCATCCCMGTCAGGATAAAACAATTCTTTCATTCTATGCGCATGCTCAGCAAGATTCTTCAGGTCAGCCTCGATTAGATGTGCCTGTGGACTCTCAACCATCTGCCAGCTAATATTACCAACAAGAGCGAAGAGAGCGGCGTCAACCAGTGAGGGCTGGTTGCCAAATAGAAACTTCTTTTTGCCCAGCCATGCGGACACAGCACGAAGATCTCTTTCAGCAATGCCATAGATTTCCTTCTCCGAGTGGCGTCCTATTCCATGGCCWTACAAGTAGCCCTGGACACGTCTTTGAGCTATCCAAAACACGATAGTTCTCAGAGGGAATGGAATGGAATCAAGTACAATTCGACCAAACTCTGGTGCATAGCTACTACACCAACGATAATAAACAATCGTCCTAAATGAAAAAAAAAAAAAAAAATAATAAATGTGATGTGCAGATTAACTGGATAAAATATTTGAGATATAACACGCGCGCTGATTGGCTGGCTACCATGTTTATATTAGAGAACAGAGACACGCTCGTGCCATAAATCGTTCAAAAATCTTATAAAAGCAATATAAAACGGCTGCTTATGTCTCTGTACTGTGATATAAACAATCCGTGCCGTGAGCTAGCTGCGAAACATTCGAAGAGCCAGAGAAACACTCGGCTATGCCTCTTATTCCTCAGACCCTCACATACGTATTGACAGTAGCGTACGTCTCCCAAACACAATCCCCTACCCCATCCCCTGTAGTGATTCTTAAGATCACGTAACAGGCCACGGCAAACAGGACAAGCCAAGGTTGTTAAGGAGAGATTATTGTTGATAGAGTGATGATCGAGAGAGTAGAGGTGAGAGACTGATATATGTAGACAAGTTCTCAGCTTTAACGTCTACCTGCTGGAGTCTTTATGTCTTCTACTGTACACCCCAGGGGCCCGTCCCTGTTAACGTGTTTCGTATTTCGTTGTCGTCTTTTATACATCTAATTTACAACGGTCAGAAATATTGAAAGAGGGAAGACAAAAACTATGACCACTTGAAGTTCTGTTGTAGAGGTCACAGAAACATGAACACATCGGTCTATCAGTCCATAGTTAGTCTTACCAGTAGGTGTTCTCTTCCAGCATAACACGTAGAGCAGTAGCTAAACCCTTCTCCTCGTCAGTCAAGTGACTATCAACATCAACCTTAAACTCCTTGCTGAGAAACTCAATGCAAAAGTTGGAATCTGCAACTGCTATTCCATTGATTTCTATCCACGGTCTCTTTCCTTTGCTTGAGCTTTTTAAGGAGTAGTCACACTCATAAGGAATTTTCGCCATGCGAAGAAATGTTTCCAACTTCAAACATGGCGGAGAGAGGTTGACAATCGTAGAGTRAGGTTTCGATTGGTGTAGAAGCACCACTCCTGAGGGAACTGTTTTATTGGATTTCTTTGAGTTTGTTGTATAAATCCAGAGAATGACTAGGACGGCAAGAAGAAGTCCAGATAAGATGCAAAAAGAATAAAATCCGAGCTCCATTTGTATGTTGTATTCCTGACAACAGTCATGCATAATTTGTTGCAGTCATGGATGACCTGGTCTGTTTCCGGACTTTTCAGCCTGGGTTTCCTGTGTTTTGAGATTGGTTGTAATCTTTTTAAGCGAAAACTGAAAATCATTTTTCAACGAAAAAAATCATTTTTTCCTAAAAGAGGAAGAAGAAGAAGAAGAAAAAAGAAAGAAAAAAGAAAGAAAAGAAAAGAAAGTACTAAATGGCCGGAAGTTTCGTCAGTTTCTCTCCGAGGGGTTTTCGTTTGCTAGAATTCAAGACAGGAATTTCAATGGCTACTCAAAAATACAAAATTTTCACTAATCACTATTCTATATTCTATTATTTTAAAAAAAAAAAAAAAAAAAAAAAAAAGGAAAAAA